GAATCACAGTCTTTCTTTTCCGGCGCTTATTGCTTGAATAGCGGAAACTCAGATGGCTGTAACTCAATGTGATTTCACTTGAATAGGTTGCCTGTTTGCATCTGTTCATTCACTTCTCACAACGCTGCCCTCCGGAGTGCAAGACTGCAAAAAAATCATCTTCTAAAAACGTGTCTGTCTGCTGTCATTTGCACGCCGAAGACCAGTCACGAATCTCAGATATAGCAGAATTTACAAGTGTGAATGGCACTGGGGTGGCTTTCATTTGACAAAACCTGATTCATCAGCTGGATTTATTGCTTCTAGAAAGATTAATTATTAAACATGGATAGAAAAGATGTAACAAGAAGTCCATACTTAGGCTAAACTACGTAATATGAATAATACATGAGTTTATATTGTCAGTCTAAAGTACTAGCTAATCATGGTTGAATCTTGTACTTTGCCTACTCTTTATGAGAGATCAGTGAAGGATGTGGGACTGTAAACTCAGATTAAGAGGCAAGTGGCTTTATCGGAGTGTGTTTATCAGCGCTAATCTGGGGAACACTCAGCAACATGGGAATATGGTGACATTCAGTGATTGCTATAAATCACTATGGGTGCATCCAGTCTGAAATGAGAAATGTTCGAAGTTTGTAAGTGCACCACAATTTAATCTTCTCACCAATAGTGATGGCTATACCACCACTCGAAATGATTAAAAAAACAGTGCTTTTAAAAATATTGAAACACTTTTCTTCCCTATTTTAATTAATGAATAAAGTGAATCAGAATGTGAGAATGTACTTTTCCCTCAATTTCTGTTGATGTGTAATTCAGATCAGATTCACCGAAAGTGAAAATGATAAAATATATAAATCAAAGCATCAGCTTTGAATGAAAATAGGTTCATCTTACGCAAATGTTAGAAACAGTCACACAGAAGCTGAGCACTCCCGTTTATCATCTTGGGTGATGCACAAAATTCACTGAATACCTGTCTTGAGGACAGAAAGAAGGAGCTGTTTTTAATTCAGTTGGGTTCCTGTAAAGGTCCATCACCATAAAGCCACTCGTCCTGTGCAACAACTGGAGAAAACCAGACACCATCATTCGATGTCATCAGCACTCATTCTGAGATGTTTTTTTTAACGTTATTTAAAAAATAAACTACTTTGGCTTCTGCTTGCTTGTCAAAAAAAGGATATCATCTAACAAAAGAATAAAGCCATTTTCAGTCTTTAAGGTGAGGTTACCTAAAACATAATAACTACAATAAGGTAACCTGCTGGCATATCTGTTTTATTATGGAAGTTTCAAGATACGGACTATAGATATGAATTATTTTTAATCTGGCATTTTTTCAGAAAATAAAGATTTGGCGCTAATGGCTAAATGCTGGAGCAGCAGCAGCAGGAGGTCTTCAGCTGGGCAAGAGGGAACAGCACCTCGCCGTGACCCCCACACGCTGTCCCGCTGGGGGTCTGAGTTTCTATAGTGCATTCCCAGTCCCTTCTTGATGTTTCCAGCCAGGAGCGTCGGCTCTCACTCTCCCAGGGTGCCAAAGTCCAACCGCCGAGCGGCCGCAGTCGCTGCTGGCACGCGAGGGGACCCCCTCGCGGCTCCCCAGGACACGGAGCTGATGCAGACCTCTCGCCTGTCCCCCTGCCCCTCACAGCGGGCGGTCCGCGAGCGCGCCGGGCTGCCGCAGGGCCTGCTTCCTGCGGACGGCGGCGTCCAGGATCTTCTTGCGGGGCCCCAGCTGCACGCGGATGCTTTTCAGGTCGTCGTCGGAGCAGAGCATGAGGGCCTCCAGGTCCAGCTGCTCCCGGCTGAAGACCGGCGTGAACTCCACCAGGCCGAGGGAGGCCAGGAAGGCGGCCAGCGGGGACGTCTCCTCGTCTTCCTCGTCCAGCCCGATGTCCTCCTCGTTCCAGGGCAGCTCGTCTCTGTCGCCCTCGTCCGCCAGCCCATCGGTATCCGACTGGAACAGCTCTTCGCGGATTCTGAAGCCCATGTCCTCCAGGTCTCCTCCGTAAGAGATCTCCTCGGGCTCCGTGTCCATGTCCAGGGAGAAGTGTTTCCTGAAGACCATGTTCCCCAGGCCGGGCCTCTTGAAGATGGACTCCTTTATGGGCTTGGGCTCCTCCCCAGACTCCTCTTCCCCCTCCTGCCTCCATCCTCTCCCGGCCCCCTCCTCCTCTTCCCCCTCGCTCTCGTCCTGCTCGTTGAAGACCTCGAGGAAGCCGGGGCGCCCGGCCGAGCCGTTCTCCTGCTTGACGAAGATGACGTTGCCGTCCCCCGGCCGCTCCGCTGGGGCCGCCCTGCTGTCCTTCCTCCCGAACTTGCGCTGCAGCGTCCCCTTCAGGCGGGCCGTGAGGGAGCCCGAGGCGTCGGCGGCGATGAGCCTGGAGAACTGCTCGCCGGCCCTGCCGACGCTGCCCGCCTCCGAGAGCGAGGATGAGGAGGATTCGGACACGGTCCCCCAGTCGCGCTCCTGCCTCTTGCTCATCCTGCTCTCGTGCCTCTTCTTGACCTTCTCACACAACTTGACCCTCCTCTCCGCGTCCCTCGCCGCCTGCTCCTTCAGCTTGGCCACCTTCCTGGGGTTCTGCGAGCTCTGCTGGGAGGCCGCGCTGTCCAGGAAGCGCACGCACTCCATGCGGTCCTTGGAGGCTGCCACGTCCATGGCGGTGTGGAAGTCATTGTCCAGGGCGAAGAGGTTGGCCCCGAAGTTCGCCAGGAAGTTGAGGATGTACAGGTGGCCGTTGGAGGCGGCGTGGTGCAGAGGTGTATTGCCCCAGATGTCGCTCCTGTCTGGGTCTCCCCTGGAAACAGACAAGGAAACAGCGAAAACGACAGATTGCCACTGTTTCTACTGCAGCCTACTGCACCACCCAGCTAACGCCACTCCAACGATGCGCCATCATCAGCGGCACACCACAGTAAGCAACGCCAATGGAGCAATGGAAAACAGGGAAGAGGAAACGGGAAATTGGGCAACAGGAAAAGGGAAACAGGAAATTGTCACTGAC